CACACACACACACACACACACACACACACACACACACACACAGTAGATGATGAATAAGGGAAAGACCCAACAAAGCAAAGACAACATTTTTAACTACTCTGATGAATTCAAGCCATTGAAGATTCACATAATAAATTCAGATTGTGAAGATATCTAGACCAAGTTTTCACCTTTGTTGGAAGAAATATATCTATTGTACTAAGAATAATTGATGTGATAGTTTAAAATAATCTTTTGTTTCAAAATAATTTATTTCATTTACTGTAAGACATCAAAAACATAAAAAGGTCATTAATTACCCATATAAATGGTATAACATATTTATGAAAAATTTGGCTAATATCACAAGTATTGTAATAAATGAGAAATTCTTAGTTTGTATTTTAGTTTAGAAAAATCTGCATGTTTTCGTTGCTTTTTTGGTTACAAAAGGAGTAAGTCTGTCATCTCAGGCTCTTATACTCAGCGCTTATTTACTGGGTCTCTGTAAAATGCCTGTGGTTTCTTAGAGGCTAAGATGAAAATGAGGAGTGAGGCATGGTGCTGTTTTCATATACTTCATGATCAACTATTAAATTTAAAATCCCAGCAGTGGATTTCTGTGAGTTCCTTTCTAATAGTGTAAGTGAGACTAAATAAATAGAGCTTTCTAATAGAAAAATTAATCTGTGTGTCACTAAGAATCTTATAGAAGATATCATATTCTGTGAATGAAATAAATTTACTCAGCAGATTAGTGAGCATCGAGCTCCACATGAAGACTGGCATTTATTCTCATGGGCCCATGTTCAGCTGGCTGAAGACCAAGATGAGGATCATGAGAAGGTGGACGTTCAGCTTTCATGGATGTTACCAGAGAGTTTCTCAGAGTGTTTATCAGTTTGCTCTTCACAATAAGGATCATGTAATATTTTGCCTCTATACTCGCATCTGACTTTATCTACTTTGTGTGGGAAGCATCATGCCTAAGACAGAAAATAATCCATAAGGCAATTTTTATTTGTTCATTTTCTCTTTCCTAGTAGGATATAATCTCCTTGAAGACATTGTCAATAATATCCACTGATATATAGCTCAAATTATAAGTATACAAGAACAAACTTGAGACATGTATGAAACTTCTGTTGCTCAGTATCCTCATCAACATTTAGAATTAAGAGACTTTAAACATTTTTGTTAATATGATGACCATTCTCCTCTTTCACCATCTTCTCTTTGGCAAAATTACGATGACTAAGAACACTGTCATCCTCCCAAGGCCCCTTCGCTTTCTTTTATCTCCTTCAGTACCTGTTCTTTACTCTTACTGAGTCAGAAAAGATCTGATGACTAAATTTTTAAGAAATTTCACAAATAAAAATTGTCTAATGGAGTGAGGAGGGGGGATGGGGGCAGGAAAGATGGTGGAATGAGATGGACATCATTACCCTAGGTTACATGTATGACTGCACATATGGTGCGATGCGACATCATGTACAACCAGAGAAATGAAAAGTTGTCTGCAATTGTGTACAATAAATCAAAATGCATTCTGCAGTAATATACATCTAATTAGAATAAATCACTTAATTAAAAATGTCTAATAGATTATCTTTTATCTCAGGTCATGACTGTTGTAGGTACTCCAGTGTAGATAAAGTCAAAGCTGATGGAAATGCAAACTATGTCAGGGCTTCTATTCCTCTCAGGGGTAACTAGTGAGATAATTGTTCTCAGCCTTCATAGTGTAGTCCTTCTAATGGCTGGTGGGGAAAGAGGAGAGAGAAAGAGAAAGAGAGAGAGAGAGAGAGAGAGAGAGAGAGAGAGAGAGAAAAGAATATGAATCATGAAGAAAGCTGTGTTTCTATATTCCTGCAACTAAACAAAAGCATATAATTCTTTGTATCTTAAAACTGTTCTTAAAGATGTGATTTTAGTATTTTAATCTTTGTATCAGAGGTAGATACTAAGTTTTATAAAGCAAATTTATTTTTGAACAGTCTATCCTTTTTGAATTATGTGTGTTCCTTGTAAAGCTATGTAAATTTTTATTTCTATGTTCTAAATGATAAAAAGAAAACTTTGCTTTTGTTTTTCTTTCTGTTTCTTTATTTTCCACTATCTCCCATAAGTTTCTGCTGAAATTCCCATATCAAGAAATAGTCCGAGAATTTTACTCACTTAATTAAATACTGGTAATGTTCTGATAAAAGACTATATATAAAATCCTGTAATAGAAGATGAAACATAAGTACAGTTGAAATGAAACAGGAATTTAAAATACAACAGTTGCAATACAGGCAAATGATTAACATCATTAATTTATAAATCTTTCTTAAAGCTTAATAAGAGAAAAGGTTATATTAGGATAATATGAGTAAAGAATTTTAAAAGGAAAATTATTAAATAATAAGAATATCTAATATACTAAACTTCAAGTGTAACAGTAATATAAAAATATTCATATAAAGATGCAATAAGAATACATTTTAAAAAATGTATCATACTAGAAAATATTAGATACAGTAAGGCAGTATTGACCAAAAGGAAAGAATGTGATCTTAATAAAACAGATACTGATGAATACCTTATGGAAGATTAAAATCTCATGTCTGGCAAGGAAGCTGGGCTTTAGACTTGCTTCATCACCTTTTTCTCTAATTATGGACTGAGAGTAAACTAAGCTCTGATATGTATTTTTTTCTATTGGAGGGATCTACTCCTGGCACTCCCAGTGACTGCCCCCACCCTTCACCCACCCCATACCCACTGGCTAAATAGCTAAAGTTGAGAGTTTAATTGATTCATGCTTCTCTGAACTGCTTTTTATAACATCTTTATGAAGATATAATTTGAATAAAACTAATTTTATCCCTCCTATCAATTAGTTTTCTTTCTTTTCTTTTCTTCTTCTTTTTTAAGTCTTTTCAGAGTTGAGCAAATGTCACCACTTTGTAAACTTAGTTAATTTTTTCCCACTCCTAAAGAAACTCATATTCATCTGCAGTCTTGATCATTACTCTAATACAGACTGCATCTGGAAAAGAAAACACAGAGAAATATATTCCTAATATATACTCCTGAGATTCTCAAAGATGTAGATGAACCAAAAATTATCAAAACATAATACAAACAAACAAATACTATGAGAAGAAATAATACTTTTACATCTCAAAAATTCAGATATTAAGATTATCAGAAATAGACCAAAAAAGGAACATGTTTAAAATTTACAGATCATAAGTAACTAAGAATTATGGGAAATAGTAAAAGAATACTATACATTTCTTAATTGTTTAAAAATGTAAGATGTTAAGAATTATAATATAAATATTGAGATTAAAATGTCGATGGTTTAAAATTGTTTAGACATACTTAGTCTCTTAATAAGGGACTAAATAGAATATATAATAGAAGAAATTTTTAAAATGCAGAAAGTAAAAGGAAATTTGAAATTTTTGTGTTCAAAAATGAAGTACCTTAATCCTCAGATTTCAATGTCTAAGTGCAGCACTTGAACATGAATGTGCAGGTGACCACCATAGCAAGATTATGGAACTTGAGGGAGAAATGTTTTGCTGCATACATATTACTTAGATTATTATTTTTAAATGGCACAAATGAAAAGCCAGAAATTCATCAAATAAAGTATCAGAATGATGTTTGAATACTACCAACCTCTAACCCTGCTTCCAACTAACTTCCACTAAAGGATAACAGCTAAAATGAAATTATTGGTATGTTAATCCACCACTACCTACCTTTGATCATATATATATATATATATCTACTTTCAGCTGGCTTGATAATGTTTTATTTCTTAAGCAAAATATTGGGCAATGGATCACTTTATATAAATGCTATGAAACAGGTAAAAATAATGATATAAATTACAAGGCACTTATGTAAATAAGAACATAAAACATATGGCCTATTTAAAAAATGCTTCAAAACATTATGGAAACCATATCTTTGTTTATATATAAGATACTAAAATATCATATATTCTCTATGAATATTTATACATACACACATATGAAAAATATGCACAAAACTGATTATCATAACTGAAAGTACAAGAAATGAGTGAAGGTGAATTACAAATGTAACATGAAGGCACATTACATTTTTCTGTGTTGCATTTATTTTTTAAAAAATAATATATGCAAATATGGCTTGACTAGCTAAAATATTTTAAAAAGGAGAAATAAAGACTAGTATACAGATAAATTTTGAAGTGGCTAAACTTAAAGCAAACAAACAAAAATAAACAAGCTTATCATAAATAACATTTATTATGTTGTTAACTTCCTTTCATCCTTAGCTTCTACAGGGTTTTAATCATAAAAGTGTGTTGAATTTTGTTGAAGGCTTTTTCCATATCTCTTTGGATAACCATGTGATTTATGTCCTTGGTTTTATCTATGTAGTGTATTACATTTATTGATTTTCAGATGTCGTATCAGCCTTGCATCTCTAGATGAACTAGCTTGATCATGGCATGTGAGCTTTATAATGTGTTGTTGAACTGAATTTCTTATTACTTTGTTGAGTATTTTTTCCATTTATGTTCATCACTGTTATTTGCAAATGATAAAATTCCATACTTAGAAGATCCTAAAAGCTCCACCAGGAGACTTCTAGAATTGATTAACAAATTTAGCAAACTAACAGGACACAAAATCAATGTACCAAAAAAAATTTGTATACACTAACAATGAATCTGCAGAGAAAGAAATCAGAAAAAAATAGTTTAATCCAAAATAATGTCAGAAAAAAATAAAATATCTAGGAATAAACCTAACAAAATGAAATTCCTCTTCAATGATAACTATAGAATTTTTTTTCTGGTTGCATCTATAGAAAGCAGTTTTCTGGGATTTGCAAAACATAAGGTTGAAAATGATAATAAAGAATGATTTGCAACCACTCAAATTTTCTTTAAAGAAAGGCAGCTAGAACTAAATTACTTATAATTTCTCTCTCCTTTTGCAAATCCAGAAATACATTTCATACATAATTATTTATACAATTCTTAGTTAAAATGGTCAAAATTAGAACTTTTACCTTTACCAGTTCCAAATTATTAAACACCAATAGAAGATCATGTGTGAGAAGAACAATGAAAAACATAAAACAAACACTTCTTTTTTTTTCCAGGAACAGGGGTGTATATATGAGTAGTAGGAGTAATGAAAGTATAATTAATATTAATTTTGAAACCTCTGAGAAATCTATTTTTGATTAGAAACTATTATTTACCTCAGAATATGAAAGGTTAAAAGTCAAATTTATGTACATGTACCTTCTTTCATTTGCTTTTAATGGGGGAAGTACAGAGATCTCCGAGTGGCTCAGCCCTCATTGAGTTCTTTCTATCAAATGACTTGAATGACTCACCAGTCATAACAAAGTGACCCAATCTCTTTCCCCACCAGATTTTTCCTGGGAAGAGACTGGGCCTGTCTGATTGCTGCTGTGAAAACTGGAGTCTCCTCTAACATCTCATAAGCACCTCACTCTGGAAAGAGATGACTATAGGTGGGAACCAAGACTGCAAGTAAGTGTATTTAAACCTACTTAGATTCTTTTTTGCCTGCTATAGTCCAAATACATGAGGTTCTTATGAAATAACATCATATGATACAGATACGAGCAGGCCACAAAATCCAGTCCATCACTTTAGGGTCAATGGACAGACTAGCCAATGGTTCACCTTTTAGGAATTTGAAACATCTAAAAATAGATGAGGTGGTTTCTCAACAACAACAAAAAATAATAAAGAGAGAAAGAAAAAAACATAAAAGGGGAAATAAGGGGAGGAAGGGAAAAAGAAGAGAAAAGATATGAAACCATAAAAAAAATCTTAGCTAACAAGAATACTTTACTTAGAAGGAAAAAATGCATAAAATGCATACATTTTATGCAGGTTAATGCAATATTAAACACAGTAGAATATATAGGCCTTATAATACTTTTGTAATATCTCCAAGCACTTTTTAAAAATATGTGAGGCTAATTCAGAATCATTGTAAATAAAAATATACATTTATTTATAGAGAGAGGGGAGGGGAAGACGAGGAAGGTATGGCATCAGGGCAGATCCCCATAGACATAAAAGGATGAAATGTTTTTTTTTGTAATTTTAATTGATATGGCAGTAAAATTGTTGCAAAGATGTAGGCTGATTTGAAGTAGAGGGATATTTTCAAATATAACCTTATAGCTACATTTGCAAAAGAAATTTTTGTGAAAGTTCATTAACCCTGTGGATATGTTTATATCGACCTTTCCTAAAATAAAATAGAAGCAATAGTTAAGAATGGGTCAGGGACTTCAATCCGGAAAATGAGATGAGATCTTTTATATACTTTCATGTTCTTCCCTAAAGCTGGTTGTGAAATGGGTATTCAGCTTTAGTGGGGTATTAATAGGATATCCAGAGCAGACACACATCCAACCATCTTCCTTGAGGACTATGACTGCTTTGATTTTTATACAATAGTCTAGAAAGAAAAAAAACAGAGAAATTTTCTTTAGAAGGATGTTGCCTGTAGATAGGTGGATTGGGGAGAGTAAATAGGAGAGGAAGTCACATGCAGAAAAGTACATTTTCCCCAGCATCCTCCAGTGTGTTTCACCCTTTCTCCTGTGGAAGAAGAAATAAGGGGATGGAGGAATTGCATACTTTATTTTTTTTCCCAAGCACTTTCCTGAGATGGTAAAAGTTGGGGTAAATCCTTCCTGAATATTTCAAGAGTACAGAAAGGGCTAAACTAAGAAACATGGAAGGATTAAAAATTGTTTTTAGGTTTTCCATTGGCTCTGGTGTTCCTCTGGTGTTTCTTATGAATATTGCCTCATAAACAGCCAGAAATGACTTTTTCCTTTCTCTCCAGTTTCAGTGGGATGCTGAGCGACAGGCTGGATGTGGACAATGGAACTCTCAAATCTTCAATTTATTTTGTCTGGCTAATTTGTACGGCACTGCTCCAAGTGTAGATGTCTTCCCCACACTCTCTGTATGAGGTGCATATTGAATTAAGTTTACAAGAATTTCCAAATCTTATATTTTCTCTTCTTACTCTTCTTATGGTTTTCTGTCAGAGAGTTGTAATGTCATGGGATAATGAAACACCATACCAGAATGATAAAGCAAATATCCTTTTAATTTGCATCTTTGGAAGATTATATACAACACACTAGAGTCTACATATCACCCAAAGTCATCACTGATAGTCTGAATGGGCCAATAATTTATAACCCACACAGCTCCACTGCAAAATCTATATGAGAAAGAGAAAATGTATTTTTTCTGGTGTAGTAGCAAGAAAATCAATCTGTGGCTGCTTGACTGATACTGATCTTGTGATTGAGGTGTCCTTAATCAAAGGAGTCATGAAGTCTCATGAGCAGAGTGCATTGGAATAATAAAGAAGAAACCTGGAGAGGTAGAAAAGTTGCAAGCACGGAGCTGCTCACAAGCATCTTCAATGCATGTGACAGGGCAGAATGAATGTGTGACTGTCACCCTTAGCAGCTTATATTTATGGGGCAACTGTGGGTGCATTAAGCACATGGAACTTAATGTTCCTTGTCTACCAATTCTTAGTATGTATTCCTACCTCAGAAACCTTTATTATGGTAGCATAATACTTTATAAATGATTAAACAAGACCATGAATGAATGATTGTGACCGTGTAGCAGTAGGTATGAAGTAACAATTAGGTCCTTTCTGCATCTTGAGGCTTCTTCAAGAATTTCTTCTAAAGCAAGCTCCTTTTCTTTGCTTAAGAGCTCATTTTGATAGCCTGGAAACCTTTGAACCTGTCAGCTGTTCTGGAAATATTTGAATTATTTCTCCTCTATTGTTTTCCTTCTTTGCTGCCCAAAGTTGTTAAAACATAAACCTGAGTAGACAGAAAGAAAGTCAATTTCTGCACCTCCTTTCCAGCCCATAGAAGCCATTTATGGTTATGATACAAACATGAAGTCATGATGATGTGGGAAAAAGACAAGAATCTTTATCAGGTGACCTGGCTAGAATATGGACCCTTTATCCAGAACATACACTTACTCATACTCATCTCTCAATCTGGCCACTCTGGACCTCATTGAGCTCCACAGTGTAATACATAATTCATCAAAGATACCATGACTCATGAAACAGCATTGTTGCTTAGATTTTATAAAAAGGGATTGAAAGTACATGAAGTTGAAGAAGTATCTATTCCTCTTTAAAGAAAAAAACTATCATAAGTAACTGTAGTATCTTACAAAGGTACTTTAAAAATAAATAAATAAATGCTATAGTTGAGCATGCTTTATAAGTTGCACAGTGCTATACAAATATTAGTAACTGTAATCTTTTAAAAATGAAATTTATCCCAGGAGTTATGTCCCTTTTTCAGGAAGGGACATCTCTAAAACTGCTCCTTTTCCCACAGTGTGGAAAACCCACTTACATAAAAAGACATTAGCATAATCTATCAAGAGTGAAAGATACCATGACTCCTGAAACAGTAATACTGCTTAGATTTTTATGAAAAGTAATTAAAAATATATGAAAATAAAGAGTATCTATTCTACTTTAAAAACAAAAACCTATCATAAGTAACTATAGACATTGATAAGAAAGATTTATTTCAATCTACAAGCTTCATAGATCAAAATATTTGAACAGTTCTTAGGAATGATTTGGGGAACATTCAAACTAGAATTGTCTCTGCTTCCTGGAACCAGGCAGGAAGCTGAAATTAGAAAGGAAGCAGGTTGATATCTATATTCCATCTTATCTATATTCAACCGCTCCCTCTAATGATTTGTGCTGGTGCCAGTGGCTCATGTCCATCTAAATGGGGCCACTGTAGATAAAGGATCCAGTGGTGATTGAACCATTCCTTCAATATTAAGAAAAGCTAAAGATTTGATTAGTAATACTTAAATGCTGGCAAAACCTTAAACATATAATGTCTTTAAATGTCAATTTAAACTTCCAAAAGAGTAAAACATGAAAATAAAACTAAAGCACTTGAGAGCTTAATTTATTTTCCATCTAAGACCATAATGAATGTATGGCACAGTCAAGGGCTTCCTACTTGAATTCCCACCATTACACTATCAAGAGGGTGTCAAGTAATATGGCACATGAGTAGGCTAATTCAACTGTTTGTGTTCCCACATATATCTGTGCTCACAGTAACCACTTAGTGAATAAGTACCTCACAGTTTGTTTTGTTCTTAACAATTTTGTTGACTATTTAAATATGTATATGAGTTTTTCCATCTCCTTGGTTTGAGAAATCAGGATATTAACTACCATTCCTTGGAATTAAGAATTATCTGCCCTGTTTCAGCAGCCCAGGTAGGCAGCATACATCAATAACTACATTATATGAATCACCTACTTCTCATCCACTGACTTTTAATGTATGAATTGAAAAGGTATATGCCACACCATGTACTATATAGGCCTGGATTCTCTTCCCAGTGCAAACAGCCTCACAGTTGAAAGCATCATGAATCTTCCATTTAAGCACAGTCATTATAATATCATTTTCTACAGCATGAGATTGTTACAGAAAGACACGAAAGCCTGTGCTCTCCCATAAGGCAGCTATGAATCTTTATGCATGTAATAGATTTTGGAGAGTCCCACACCATTGCTGCTACTGAGAAATTGTGGAAATAGATCATGTAGGAATGACCAGTCCATTCTACTAGGGTCAGGTAACCTAATGGAGGTCTTACTTCCACCTTAAATCTTCTTTAATTTCTGTTTTTGGCAGAAGAAAGATGGTCCAAATTTAGGTATCCACGCTAGAAGAGACAGTGCAGCTCATCAGTGCTCTCACAATCAAACCTAAGAGCAACAGGCCTCCAGAGACTGCAGACAAAGGTGAGCACTGGGCTGGCTTCTGAATATTTCACACAGGCTTCATCAGCTTGCTTTCTCCAACATAGGGAGTGGGAAAGGTGTTTCAGCAGCACTGATGGAACCAAGTGAGGGATGCCTGAGCACAACCAGATGAGGCTGATCCACTTTGCTACCTTTTAGTAAAAGCCCCTTTTGTACCTGATTTGTAATCTAGTCTATTAAGATTTTTTGTTTTTATGTTTTATTTAGAGACAGCATCTCACTAAGTTCCTTAGGGAAGAATGGATAATGTTTGGCTGGAAATAAACTTCTCCATGCAGTGTGCATATGATAATAAGTCAAAAGGTTAGTGTCATGTCATATTCAACCAGCCCTATGTGGTGTTTATGGGACTCTTTATTTCTGTATAAAACTTACTTAAATGTAAATTTTAGTCCTTCTGAAAATCATTACCAGATAATGGTAGGATTATTGTACAGGAAGGATGATTAACTTTGGGGAGGGACATAATTAATTGATATTAGCAGATGCATTTACCTCCATTATGGACTTAACTAAGGTACTAGACTGTGTGGTCTGTGACCCCTCCTCTAACAAGTATTATTCAGTGTGGAAAAGCAATGAAACCTCCCTTGGATTCTTTTGGTTGGGAAACAAACTAGAATTAAAGGCCTTGTCCTGACATTTGGTGCTACATAATCTATGGTAACACTCTTTTAGCACCATCTTATCTTGTAGCAGGCACTCCCAGATGAGGCTTATTGTACATCTCTCAGAATGTTAAGGATCTTTAATATCCAGTTTCTATGCTATTGTCACCTGGCTGCTTAAACTCTTTCCATATAAATATATATAAGGCTAAATTGTGCTATGATGTGAGTATCCCTTATCCAAAATGTTTGGAACTGAAAATGTTTCAGATTTTCAGATTTTGTAATATTTGTGTGTGTGTGTATGTGTGTGTGTGTATATATATATATATATATATATAAAATGAGATGTCTTGGATACTAGTAGTCAAGTCTCATAATGAAACTTATTTATGTTTCATATATACCTTATACACACATATGAAAGTTGTTGTAGGGGAGGACTCTTTTTCCCTATTTTGTTTTTTGCTGTTTTGGGCCTTGAACTGAGGATCTTGCATGGAGTAGGCAAGCACTCTGCCTTGAGCTACATGCCCAGCCCCTGACAATAATCTTATGCAATATTTTTAGCAACTTTTTTTGGGTAGATGCTGCAGATTGACCCCAAAGATGCTTAACTACTGAGCTGCACCCCCAACCCTTTTTATGTTTTATTTAGAGACTGGGACTCCCTAAATTCCTTAGGGCCTCACTAAATTCCTGAGGCTGGCCTTGAACTCATAATACTTCTGCCTCAGCCTCCTGAGCTGCAGGGATTTACAGGAATGGGTCACCATGCTGGATACACCTTCATTTTGACTGCAACCCATCACAGGAGGTCATATGTGGAATTTTCTATCTGTGTCATATCATATTGGCCCTCAAACATTTCAGATTTGGGAGTATTTCAGATTTTTAAATTAGGAATGTTCAACCTGTTGAACATATTCCAGTGGGATTTCTACTTGAAAACTTAATGTAACCTTGATTCACTTCACTTGTCTATGGACATCTCAGTCCAAGCCTTGAACTTCACATAATCACTATGCTACTTAATTCTCAACTATTTCTCTTAAATTGAATACATAGAAATTTCCCTACAATTGCCCTACTTGGGTATTAGATTTTATCATACTAAACCACATGTTTGTTACAGAATGAATACAGAGTTTCATGTTAAAGACATAAGCACTGCCAAAATTTTCAGAATTCCTTGGAGACCAAAATTATAAAGTGCTGAGAGCCATTGCCAAGTAGAAATGATGAATGGCAATTTCTTTGTCAGCCTACTCCATGTTGCTTAGAGGAAGGACTCTCCATTGTGGAAATGGGCTTGCCTTTGGACCCAGGTCATTTGCAGTGACATTGCATGTATGCTTGAGTAAGGTGACCTTGCTCAAGGACCAGGGCAGATCCAGGTTTAGGGTGGATCAGGTTTTAGGGAGTATCCTGCTACTTGGGTTTAGGGTGGTTCCAGGTTTAAGTTGTACCCTGCTGGGAATAGGGCGTATCCTGCTGCCTCAGGCATGCCTGCTCCTGGAGTTCCCATTGAGTTCTCGTGGGATTCAGAGAGTATTTGGGATTCAGAACGTGGATTTTTCCTAGAACGTGGATTTCCCCAGAACGTGTGTGTGTAGAGTGTTGGTGACAGTTCAAGAATAAAGAGTTGCTGTTTGAATCTACAAGGTGTGAGTGGCTCGTGATTTTGTGCCCAGCCAGACTGTGGCAATTGGTGGCCCATGCGGGGAATATCTGAAGAGAAGGTAAGTGAAATTGCAAGGTCACCTTACTCAAGCATACATGCAATGTCACTGCAAATGACCTGGGTCCAAAGGCAAGCCCATTTCCACAATGGAGAGTCCTTCCTCTAAGCAACATGGAGTAGGCTGACAAAGAAATTGCCATGCGTCATTCCTACTTGGCAATGGCTCTCAGCAAGAAAGCTTACCAACTAGGACAGCTGTCTGCTTACAAGGAGTCTCTAGTGTTGAAGGTAAATTTTTATACTTTGGGATAATTGTGGGAATGTGTAATGTAATACATTTTAAATGATTTTTAATTTATGAAAAAAATGCATCTAATATTTATTGAGTACTTCCTATGGACACTTGTATGTATTTTCTCATGTACTCCTGGTGCCTGTCCTGGGAACATGAGTATTCATGCATTAAGCCCATTTTACTGATAGGGAAAATGTCTAATTCTGAGCCATAGAGAGCTAGTTAAGGCAGAATTCAAGCTGAGACTTTTTGCAACCAAACTTGCATTCTAAACCAGTATTCCATCTGGTTTTTCCATTGATCTTCTTCAGTGTTGGAGACTAAATCCTCTCTTTGACTGTGAGGACAAAACGAAGTCCTTTTAGATGTCAGACAATTGGTAGAAATTCTCTAATTCTGTTGGCTGAAATATTGCCTTGAGAATGAAAAAGATACAGATCATCTGGTGGCACTGTTCTGTTTCTTAACTACCAGAAAGAAAATTGGAAGGGGTGGGTGTGGAGAAGTGGAGAGAGAATACTTTTGAAAAGATACAGTCTTTGGGGCTGGGGCCTTAGCTCAGTGGCAGAGCACTGGCCTAGCACTTGTGAGGCCCTGGGTTGGAACCTTTGCACCACATAAAAATGAAACAAATAAAGGAATGTTGTTCATCTACAGCAACAACAAAATTTAAAATATTCAGTCTTTGAAGTGTATATGGTCCTTGAGTTCTTTTTTGGTTAATTGAAATCCAATTAACATAACAGTCACCCTCTTAAAATGTAAAATTGAGTGCTTTTTGATATATCCACAGAGTTACACAACAATTACCACTATCTAATTCTAGAAAATTTTTGTCACCCCAGAAGGAAACTATGTAAATATAGAACAATCATTCATTCCCTAGCTTCCTTACTGGGTTTGGGATATTTTATATGAATGGAATCATAATAAGTGGCCTTGTGTATAATGTTGTCCTGGTCTGTTCATATTGTAGCATGTATCAGTACTTCATTTCTTTTTTAGCTGAGTAAAATTTCATTGTATGGACACATCCCATTTTATTTATCCATGCATGTGTTGATTATTGTTTGAATTGTTTCCATATGGGGACTATTAGGAATAATACTGGTGTGAATATTATTGTGCAGGGTTTTGTAGATATGTTTTCTTCCCCTGAATATATATCTAGGAGTGGAATCGCTGGGTCATTGCCAGATGCGCTGATTCTGCACTCAGGCCTGCAATCCCTTGTCATCCTGCCTGAGAGACTACCATGTCTTGCAGACACAGGTCATTATCTCAACTTCCTTTGTTCTAGTCAAGAAGATTCACCAGCTTACAAGCCCCAGGAACCAATTTCTTAGTGTTCTTGTGGGATTTATATCTGTATGGGGTCCTCACTTACCCAACCTAGTCCTTGTGTTGAGCTATAGTCAAGCCTCACCTGCCAACTTCTCAGCTCTCTGAGAAAGATTGGGTAGTGATCTGAGTTTGGTTTTCATTTGCAATCTTTTAGCTATTCTGTGTGGCAGCTCCTACTGCTTCTTTCTTTAGTTTCCCTCAGTACTGCTTCCTAATCCTTTTATTCTACTGATATATGCCTGGCATCATAATGTTTACTTAAAGAGCCTCTCCATTATTCAGAGAGGCAACAGGTCCTGTAGAATTCCCAGAGGAATAGAGTGCCTGGCTTCAAGGTGCTGTAACGTACCTGGAACCCAAGAATGGGTCTGCGGCAACAAAGCTGAGGAGTGGACACTTTTCCTTTGCTCCTGGCTGTTTTGCATTCTACAGCAGTTTTCTTTCTTTGCATTGCTGCACATAACCCCTCCAACCTCCTGTGCTGGCTCTGCTGGTCACAGTGGAGAATTTTAACTCCCATGGGGTCAATGGCCTGTCAAGTGGTTTTTATTGATAGCTTTTTTTTTGCTGTGTATCTCATTGGCTTGCTTACCAACACAAACTGGTTTTGGTTTCTTTCATACCCAAACCAGAACATATTTGGGTATCCTGAAACTTTATAGAGCATGCATTTTTTGTTATATGAACCTAACCAATCAGAGGGTTGGGGCAGAGGGGATCGCCCGAAAGACAATCGGGAAGGGGATGGGGTCTGTCACTCTGGCATCCCATTAGGTGAGGGCTGCTGTGGGACCACCAGAGCAGGCTGCAGGGGAACAGGGGCTTCTTCTTGGGGGGTGCTGCCTCTGAAGGCATAACGCCTGTCTTCATGGAGGTGTGACTCTGATGGAAGATCCAGAATTTGGAGTTGAATGTCAATATTGGCAACAGCCTGAGGAGGGCCTATTCTGATCGCGGTAGTCATGCCATGTCTGCGTCGTCTGTTGACCCAGTACAGCAGTGGGCTGTAACTGAAGGTGGCAGCTCTCATCACCTCCACCCACTGCTGGGCACGCTGCCTCCTCTGCAGGTTCTTCCTCCAGTGTAGTAAGAGGATGCAGCCACTAGTTCTCATGGTGCAGAGCCCCAACAATCTGAAGAACCATGGGACCCACACTGAGGCAGTAAAAAAAGAAAGAGGCAAGCTGACTGACAGCTTTAGCTTGGGACCTGAACTGTTTCTCATTCCTCTCCTGGATTTGGCTTATTCTTCCTCTCATTCCTTCCCACACTTCTCAAAGACATGCCTAATAATTTCCTGATTCAGTCAAAGCTATATTTGCAGGGCACATAAGAGACCCCATTAGCCTTTTACAGATAAGGAATACTAGGTGTAGAGGGGCCATGACCTTCCCAGACTCAAGTCAGGCCTTCTGACTCCAGTCCAGCACTCATGCAGTCCTTCAGACTGAGAAGCCTCATGAAGGGCAAGGACCTCAATTGTATCTTTTCTGATTGGGCAGAACATGGTCTCTGCCTTCGAGGAGTCCTTAGTTTCCTAGAGGAGTCTAACTCTTAACTAATAACACTCCAGTCAGGCTGCCACCTCCCCATGCATGCAAAGGGTCTTCCCTGAAAGTTTGTCCTCCACACTCAAAAGTCTGGGTGTACTTATGGCCTGGAAGGCCCAGATCCTTCTTTTGCAAATCCATAAGGTTCACTCTGTTTACCAGGCCTATAGCTCTTGAAAGAGTGAACTCACCCACTACTCTGCCCACCAATGGGAGTCCCCAGAAGGCCCCAGTCCCAATGTTCTCTAAAGATCAGGTCACTGGGTTCTGAGCTGGTTCTGAGAATTCTAGGGCTGGTGCTTGTAGAGTGGTTGACAGTTGATGGAATAAGGGACTCCATCTTGTGACATCTCATGAGCATATTGTCTTCCATGAAAGACTGGTCCACCATAGAATTGTTTGTCCCCAACTTTGTGTGATGAACTCACAGGGCAGCCTCCAGGAAAGGGCCCTTACACCCTCAGGGGCTTCTACTTGTGTTTTCAGTTGTTAGGGAGTGGGGCAGGGAGGACAGTGAGCATTGGACAGCCCTAGCCTCAATAAATATCTTACCTAGTTGTCAGGGAACAAAACATCTCAGAAGAACCAAGTGGTCAAAATCTCCTCCTTTGGCTCCTACCATCTATGTTTTGTTTCTTCAAGAAGTGTTTTTTTGGCATCATCAGGTGTAAAGGTCAGGCGAGCATCAGAGGAAGAGACCACCAAGAGACTGTCTCATGCAATAGCAAAGGGTTTATGGGGGTCCAGCATGCTGGGGCTCAGAGCTCACTTGAATAGAGCAGAGAGCCCTGGGAACAGCTTAAGCAGAGCTTATATACTTTCCTTGGAGAGGGCAGGGACTTCACATACAGCATAGCCAATCATTTCACGGTTTCTGGGAGAGGTTGTTTTCGTAGAGCAACCAGATGATCAGGGGAGATTTCAACATACATTTAGTGGGCCTTTCTGGGAGTTGTTTTCAACTTCTACATGAGTTTCAGGTTCCAGGAAAACAACTTAATTCTTACAGTCTTAACATTTTCACAGGTCCCATGGGACCTCCCCCCATGTGATCCTGCTTCTCTTTCCAGCTCCATCTCCCTTCCCACCCGTCATATACCTTTCTGCCCTGGGCATGCCAGATTCCCACAGACCCTGCTTATTCCCCCTCTGGACTTTTTGCTCCCTCACTCAGGAGTGTCGCTTACCACATTTCCGCCACACTGAACACCTCCTTATCCTCCCAGGTGGTCAACTCCCCTACTCTGAGACAAATAGTCCTTTCAGTTGATTTCCCAGTTTCTAGAACTCTGAAGCAGATGAATTTGAAACAAATTGGTCCCAGGGGAAGAAATAAAAGTGATTTCAACAACTATAAATTTGTATAAAGTGGAAGCTATAGTGTTCTACAGATTTAATATATTATTTTTAGAAAGTTGCTCTATTTGAACTGGTATAAAAGTGATGCCCTTTTAAATAACACCACCTGCCCACCATGAACAACTAAAGTTCAGTTAAGTATAAATTAAATTAAAAAAATTAACCTGAAAAACCCCAGCATGATGATCTGCCACTGAGTCTTATTTTAAAATTGACATTTTCCCCTCCCCCTCTCCCCATCTCCAAACTGGGGGGAAACAGGATTACTTTTTGTCCCCATACAGTTATCTATTCTTGAGCACACACCCACCATGGGAGTGAAGAAATTCAGAGATGGGGATGGCAGCAGAAGACTTAAAAAATGATTATATCCCAGATTAACAAGTGAAGAAGATCTGGGCACACCTGAAATCACATCATTAAGAACCCTCTGTTCCCCCTGATATGCAGAATCACAGCCTCTGGGACAAGAGTCCCCTGTGTTTTTCCTTTGCTTTCAATGCAATTAAACTTCTGTTTATCAACTAATATACAGATAAACAAATGGGTATATCCATCCAACAGAAATTATGTGTGGATTTGTGTATGTACATATACATTATATTTATATAAGATTTTGATATTAGGGATGGAACCCAGTATTTAGTTATTGAATAAACAATACAGGAAGCCTACATCAATTATTAATTGATTAGTAATTTTCTCTCTTGAAAAAATGTTAATAGCAATTATATTTATTTTCTACATCTATATTACTTGTTGAGATGTGCATATATATGCATGTTTGTCTATAATATATTTATAATATAAAATATATAATACATATACATATATATCTACATATATCTATATCTATTATCTCTCTATATCTATATCTATATCTATAACTATATCTATATATCTATATATCTATATCTGTAACTATCTATCTCACTATCTATCTATCTATCTATAAAGTTAGGGCTGATGCATTAATACTATGTAGGAATAACAGTTAACAAAGAGATGTGCTCCTTATAAGTAATCTTTATTTGAAGGTCCTTGGAAAGATCAATTATTGCTACAATTAAGAAATCAAAACCAGTTGACTTGTATCTAATTTTTCCTATTTTATTTCATAGAATGCTATGTGAAGTTCTCCTCAGCCTTAGAGATTCACAGATATTCAAGAGCACAGTGTCCATGGTTTGCAGGTATCACTTCTTTGATCCTGGAGATTTTTAAGTCTCTGGCTCCATCCCAGCTGTCTCCTTGACCTCATCTGTTTGTGGAGCCCGCTGCCCAGCAGGGATAGCAGGAGTGGTCTTGATGTTGAGAGGAAGGGTCCCTTCACCTAGGATATGGGTGCCTCAGAAGAGACTCCTCCCTTTTTATTGCCCTACCTGTGTAAATGTAACTAAGACTGTAAATGGTGCTGTATTGGTGTGTGGCTACTGGCCACAGGCTTTTAAATAGACTCTAAGTGTTGATGTTCTAGCACCCTGAATGATTCTAAGATGATTGAGTAAACATCCTAATTTTTAAATAATCAAGCTAACTTTCATTGTGGTGAAAAAACAGATACACACCAGCTTTTTTTTTGTTAAAAACAATTATAAACATGGAAATCTGTGAGGAGAAGTGCATGGAGTACTGCATACATGGCATACCTTATGGGTGTCTGAGAGGCAAAGCACTCCCCTGTGCTAGGCGTGTGAGTAGCATACCATTCACCCCATAGGCACAGCCCTAGGCATGAGGCCACATGTTGCAGTACCAGCACTTGGTCCATGGCCCCTCCTTGATTGGTCGCTGCCAGAACAGTTGGACAGAAATTGTATTGGTGGCTGCCTATAGTCTGCTTATTGCCTAAGTTTATATACATGGTAACTGTGCAATAAAATCAGACCTGCTTCCTGCTTGGTCTCAGAAGGTCTTGATTAGCGACTGTACATCCACACTCTCCTCCACCCTGTACCATGGATCTCCTCACTGGGTGAGAGAGAGCCCACAGATATTCATCTCCAGGAACTGTGATTGACATGGTGATAACCAGGAAGCAATAGTATGATGGTTTTAGTTTTGCATCTGAATCTATAACATTCTCAGTTCACCTTGGCAAAATCACTTAATTCCAATAACTTCAACTTAGAAGGATTTTCTGATCCTTGACAACTAATTTGATCTATATTTCTCACCCTTGACCAGGAACTCTTCATTTGGATTTAGAAATTGTGATTAAGTTTCTTAATCAAGTATTTGTGTCTGTGACAAAATCAAGGTTAATTTTAGTGTGCCCCTAAAGCCCCTTCAAGTGTGAATATGAAAGTAGCAAGTTATGTGTTTGTTGCCAGGTTGGAGTCATCACAAATCAAATATGAATTATGCCCTATCAAAATGTTTAATTATTGAATAGCCTGAAGAGG